CAGGACTGCAGGGAGGGGGCGGGTTGGAAGCACCTCCCCCCGACCGATCGGGTCCTAGCTTGGGGACCCAGCCAGCAGCGGCTGCGGGACAGTTGCGGTGCAGCAACTACGGACTTATCCTTACGACCACTCTCTCCAGCCTCCCACCCCCCGCCCCGTCGGTATAACTTCTCCAAGTGCACTTCTTCCCCCACCTACTTCATCTTCTTGTGCTGCTGAGCTTTGGGGTTTTTACCAACGCGACAGGCATCCTGTGATCCTTAGACCTCCTCTGCTTACGTGCTGCCCTGGGGAGGAGTTGGGTCTGTCTTTGAAGAATGTGTGCGTTTGCATCATTCTCTCTCGGACACATTATTCTGATTGCAAGGGGGAAACGCACTGACTCCTAGTAGTAGTCGGTGTTCATTAAGGCCATCTAGACGGAGACAGCTCACGTGTAATCCCCAGTTCTCCCCCTAAGCCAGAGTGCTCTGCTTCCCGAGGGCTGCTCTCCTGCCCGCCACGCGTGAACCGCAAATGCGCTCAATATTGAGAATAAGGGAGGGGCTGCAGTGTCACGCCTGAATCATGCTCCACTTCCTTGAGAAATTTCCTGTCGGGTTGTTTGGATAGGGATGCGTGAGACGGGGTATGGATTCAAGCATAGTGTTCGAACGCCAGCCATAACTCCTGTCTGGCCTAGTAAAGTAAAAAAAAAAAAAGGCTGGGGGCGGGGGGTAGAGTGGAGGGGGGAAGGAATCAAGAGATAGGGAACAGAACGAGAAATTTAGAAAATCTTTGAAGCTCCCTGAGCTCGTGCACACATACATGCATGTTTTCTAGTGGGGGAGGGCCAGGTGATACCATAATTGGGGTGGATATGATAGTGTGCCACCCACAGTAGCTCTATTTATAGTTATTCTCTGGATAAGTTGACCTAGTCACTAGTGATAAAGAACTCTCTGGAAGCTGTCCAGAGAGAGAGAGAGAACGGGGACTGGACAGCAGACTATTATAGGGCACCACATTTGAAAAGGAGGTTTAACGAAGTGGCCCCTGCCTCCTGGCACCTCCTGCCACATACTTTCCCCCCACAAACTTGCCTAGAACACGTGCTCCACTAACCTAGGATCAGGGAGGCTGAGCAAAGTCAATCCAGCCTGGCACCAAGAAAGCACGCTGTGCCCTGTGCCTGCCTCAAGGACAGAAGGAGCTGGTGTGTGCTGATAATTCCTACAGAAGCCAACAACAATGCTTTCCTGATAGCGAGTGATTGGGAGACCTGTGTTCCAGCCCTGGGTGGGTCTCTAATTTCAAATGGAAATTGCACCAAGGTGGTGTTTGTTTGTTTTTTACTTCCTCTCTGGGGCTCTGCTCCTTAATTTGTCAAATAAGAAGCGAAGCATCCACCCCGTTCACCTCCGGTGATGACTGCAGAGTCTATTTGCGGTTCCAGGGAATTGGTGACGGCTTATGGTTAAACCAGGCCCTTGTGCTGTGGGTTACGGATCCAAGTTTGAGCAAGACGAGGTTTCTGCCACCCAGGAGCTCAGACTCCAGTCCCGAAGATTGCAATTCATGGAGACAAATTCAAACAAAGTCGCCACTGGAGTGTGTCGAAGACTTGGATGAGGGACTTGCGGGGCTGTTTTTCCTGAAGCTAGGTTATCTTGGGAGGAACTAACGTAGAAATACTCCTTATGGAACTTCCATGTGCCAGACATTGGATCTGGAGGCACCGTGATTTAAAAAACAAATGTCTGTCTTCATAAACCTTTCCAAACAAAATAGTCCTCTGAGTCATAAAATAAAATGAATAAGAGATTGTTGGAAGAAATAAGGAATGTTCAGAGGCAAAGGCGTGTGGTGGACTGAAAGTTCTCGAAGCGCCACATGGCTGGAGTACCAGCAGTTTTTAGAGATGTAGCTAGAGATACGATGGGCAAAATGGATTGCGATTGCCGGGGGAAAGTTTTATTGGTACAGAGAGAGAGCATGGCAGGTGAGAGGAAAGGCCTGTGTTAGAAGGCGAAGTGGCATGGTGGGCTAGAAGGATTAGGCTGCGGATCACGTGGAGTGACACTTCTGGACTTCTGAAGGATGTGAGACTACAGGTAGCACAGAGAGATCAAGAAAAGCTTCTCCCAAGCACACAAAGGAGAACTACAACATGAGTCCACTGGGGCAAGCTGAAAAAGCACAAGGGGCATAAGTGACATGCCACCAAATGCATAGATTCCCAGGGTGAGGTCCAGGCACTCTGTCAAGGGTTGGATCCAACCCAGGGATGCATGTGGCAGCCAACTAAAAAGAAGGGGAAAAGTGGGGGGGGCGGGCACCAAAAAACAAAAGGAGGACATGGATCGTGGGGGAACAGGGCACTAACCCACACACAGGGAGTGTATTGTTCCTGTCTCCACAGGAAAGTGAGAAAGGGACCAGACCTCAACCTGGGGTACCAAGCCTCCAGGACAACATATGAGCATAAAGCAGCAAACTAACAGCGATCAGTGGGCCAGCCCCAGTCCCAGCCCCAGCTATGTCAACCCCCTCCTCAGAAAAATGCACGACATCTATCCCTCAGAGAGTGTGGCAGGTCTGCCCAGACCACATGGAGCAAACTAAGAGGGAAAGAGCGAGACAGCGAGAGAACCACATCCTAGCCCACCAGCTCTGGAGGGTGACATTTCCTGCTTAGAGCACCCAATGCATAGAGAGGGCCCTGGGGCTGGCCCCACCGTGAGACATGACACCCCCTCACTGACTGACAGGGAACAGCACTGAAGACACAGTGGGAATTGTGCCAGGTCTGACTCCCCCACACCAGAGCAAAACAAGGTGCGCAGCAGAACAGCAAGGGGAGCAAAGCAATGAAGTACCTGAGGAATCCCCCAAACAAAACCAGTGGGCTAGGCGGACATGGCACTTCAGCAGGTTGGAAAACAATCAGAAGGGTCAGCAGAAAGACCTGGAACTATTTGTAGGCTTTTTTTCTTTCTTTCTTTTCCTTTTTCTCATGTCTATCCATATAAGATAGGCAGGATAACCAATACTAAGGAGAAAATAATGGGGCCGATGGCTCCAGCTCTGGGAGACAGGAGAGGAGGAGGTGGGAGAAAAGGAGGGGGGAACCCAGGGACAAGGGAAAAATAAGAGATCTAAAATCGATGGCAAGGAGGGTGTAGAATACCTGGTGGGGGTTGACCAAGGGCAATGTAGTCCAGAGAAAGTACTGACAGACAAAGGAAGGTCGAACATGATAGTGGGACTGGAGGAAAGTGAAAAGAAATAGAGGAAAGAACTAGGAGGCAAGAGGCATTATAGAGGTACAGATATAGGCATGCACATATGTAAATGTGTAAATATATTAATAGGGATGTAGGTCTATGTACATATATTTAAATGTTAAGTATTAGGTAACAGACGGACATTGGACCTCTATCAAGTACTCTTTCAACTCAAGAGCACTTTGTTCTAACAACCTGGCATTCTGTGACGCCCACGTTCCTGACACAATTGCTGAAGTCAAAATGGGTGCATAAGCAAATGTGGGGAAGAAAGCTGATGGTGGCTGGCTATTAAAATATATAGCATCTGGGGTCTTAAAGGCCTGATATTAAACAAGTGGCCATCTAGCAGAGAAGCAACAAGCCCACATGGAAGAAGCATGCCAGCCTGTGTGATCATTAGGTGTAGACGGGATCAGGTATCAGGCATCAGAAGACCCAAAACAAATATATTGATGCAAATGATGGGGGTTGGAGAGGAGACCCAAAGCGCATCTGTACACAATTGGACATTCCCTCACAGAGGGGTCACAGGGAAAGAATGAGTCAGTCAGGGTGCAGCATAGCAGCCACGGAACACACAGCATTCCTTTAGTTCTTTAATGCTTCCCCCCAACCCCTACTATCATGACACCAGTTCTACCTTACAAATCCAGCTAGACTGGAGCATGTACACTGGTACAGATAAGAGCTCTTGAGTCATGGAATCCAGGAGTATCAATGCCATGGGGGTAGGGAGAAGAAAGGGGAGAAATAGGTAACCGACTACAATGATAGATGTATAACACACACTCCCATGAGGACAAACAACAGAAATATGGGTTAAGGGAGACAGTGTAGGATATGAAACTAATAATAATTTATCATTTATCAGGGATTCATGAGGACTGCAGGGTCGGGGAGGGAGGAGAAAAAGAAGAGTAATATCAAGGGCTCAAGCAGAAAGAAAATGCATTGAAAATGATGATTTTATGTATCGATGTGTTTGATACAATTGATGTATGGATATAGTTTTTTATTAAAAGATTATTTTATTGGGGGCTCAAAAAAAGATCATTTAATTGGGGGCTCTTACAGCTCTTATAACAACCCCATACATCAATCGTCTCAAGCATATTTGTACATATGTTGCCATCATTCTTTGATAGACATTTACTTTCTATTGGGCCCTGGGTATCAGCTCCTCTTTTTATAAGAGCTGTAAGAGCCCCTGATAAAATGATTTACAAGAAAGAAAAGCTTCTCAACTCAGCCCACTGCCATCAAGTCATTGCTGT